GAAAGAACCCCAATACTAGCTAGAAGATATACGTCTTTCTCAGGGTTTGCACCAGGGGGAACAGAGAGTGTCTGGCTCAGTACAAACCTGTTTCCATTACTACATTACCATAAATCCACCAACATGGCATTTCTTAGCTACAGTGAGTTGGTGGTCGTGTTTCCACAGGTTGTTCCCGTACAGGAGAATATGTGAAAAATGCATAGTTTGGGGCTGATAAAAACAAGTATAACCATTAAAAATTTAAATGCACTTTGTTTCAAATGGGAGGGCAAATGCTTGCCTTACCTCTATGAAATTGTAACAAAAATTTTTCTGTACTGGGAAGCAAAAAAATGTATTAGGAAAAACCCTAGGTCCAATTTTCACTATATTTCCTTGGGTCTACATATAGAATTTGGAACTTCTAAGAGCACCAGTTTTGTTTTTTGAACAGTGCATAGAAATTGTGTGGTCATAGGATCAACAATATATTATTAGAGTGAATGTTGGATAGTTTCAAACTGTTAACCTTGAGATTTTTTTCTAATAGAATCTTGTTTTCTTTTTCCAGCATTACAGTGTTTCTGCCACCTCTGTACAAAAGACAATTTTACTTGTGTGACAGATGGCCTTTGCTTTGTCTCTGTCACAGAGACCACAGACAAAGTTATACACAATAGCATGTGTATAGCTGAAATTGACTTAATTCCTCGAGACAGGCCATTCGTATGTGCACCCTCTTCAAAAACTGGGTCTGTTACTACAACGTATTGCTGCAATCAGGACCATTGCAATAAAATAGAACTCCCAACTACTGGTAAGTTGTTGTATAAGACTTTTTTTCTGGATTCTTCAGGAAAAGCTCTTTGACTCTGACTCCAATTTTAGTACTGGAAGGGATTGTAGAAATCATGTAGCCCAACTTGTTCAGTTTAAAGGCAAGAAGTGACTTGTCCATAGTTGGAGAGTTATAAGAGTAGCCAAGATCCTGACTCCTGGATATGAGTTGTTTGAGAAGGTGGTTCCAGGATAGACTTTCTTTGAGGTCTGTTATGCCTAAAAGTGTAGCCTCATAAAAGTGAATTCTGACAAAAGACCACAGCAGCAGTATGTCCTTAGGGTGTACCCATTTTGTTCCTCAGAGTGACTTTCTTCTTCGTTGTATAATGTTCCTCCTACCTTTTAAAGCAACCAAGAGCCACTTTAATGGGTGGGGATTGAGAGCAGCACTAACAGGTTAGATGTTTTCATTTTGTAATTTCATCTTGTTTTATGATCTTTACGTATGAATTAATTACACATGATTTTGAGATTTTTGGTCCTTCACCCATAGTTGACATTTTAAAATGTCCTGACAGAGCCAGCAATTAGGCTTCATAAACTCTTAGGATCAATTTTAAGGTTATGGTTTAAAATGGAAGTCTGAGCACACGTACGAGTATTTAACTCTTTTACCACTTTCCCCATATTCCAAATTACTACTGTAATAATCAAAGGAATATAAAAATGAGAGAAACCAATATTAATACTAGTAGAATTAATGGAAGAATGCTACTTACATGCCAACACTTGTGAGGAATTTCTCCAATTTGTAGTATAGATGACACTAGACTAGTGAAGAAATGAGTAACCATACAAGAAAGAAGTGAAAGGACCTCTGGCAAAATCCCACCAATACCTTAAGAAAGAGGGCTGGGGATGAGGTTAGGCTATAAGGCAGACTCTCAGTTTTCTTTTAGGAAGTACATGGTTTAGTGCTCAGAGGAACAGACCACTGTGCTCACTTTCCACTCAGATTTTGTCCAGGCCTCATGCTCATTAAAGTAGGAAGCACTAGTGTAGCTCATAGGAAAAAGGCCAGACCTACCAGTTACAGACAGGAGGCAGCCTTCCACCTAGTCTTAGCATGACGGGGAAGCTCCCTTTGGTAAGGCTTTGTCAGACTGTAATTTCTTTGTGACTTTTATGTAGGCATCTGCTGTTCTAATATGGCAAAGAAAATGATAACCCCCAAATATCCCATATCCATTGTTTGAGCTTAAAATATCTGAATAGAGATTTATAAAACCGTAAATAAGTCACCTCATTTCTAATAGTAAACATGCATAAACTCCTCATTTTCAACTCCAGGATAAGCAAACAGCAAAAAATTACCAAGTAAAAAGATTAAGTGCTTCAAAAGAAGTAGACTGAACTAGATAAATTAGAGTAGATGTCATCCTATGCAGTAGGTTTACCATGTGATAGTGTAGAACTTTCAGTCTAAGGTCTATTTTCAGTTGTTCATTATGAAGTGAGAATCTTTCACACAGTTGTTAAAGATTCAGATGAAAAGCTCCAATTGATGAATGTTTTTAAAAATGCAGTATTGAGAGTGAACAGCAGACTGGATACTGTAATTTTATAGTCAAGCTTTATACAAGCTTAAGGCACAAGCTTAAGAAATTGTGTTATAATTCAGAGAAAATGATAATTGTTGAGCAAATTAGGAGATACAAAAGACAGATCCAGATGATCCAATAAACTTATTAGAATTCTAGAAAAAGGCATGAGAGCAGACAGAAGAGAGAAGACTATCTGGTAAAATTAATGAAAAAAATACCCAAAGACATGTAATTAGAAAAATGTCAGATTCAAGAACAAAAAAAATCATATAAGCATTGAGGACACGTAAAGCATTTATTGCCTATAAAAGGAAAATAAATGTTCAGATTTTCTACTTTTTTAATTATCAGAGAGCATTGGAACATTACTTATTGATTGTCACCCAAAATCCTTGAAATAAGCCAAGATTTTTCACATACAAAGGCAACAGCCATCTTTAGTAATTAAGTATTTAGTGAACAAGGACCTATGTATTTATTCCTGATGAAATTATTAGAAATAGGGTTCTATATGATAAGAAATCAGTCCAGGGGCCGGCCCGGTGGCGCACTGCTACAGTGCGCTGCTTGGGAGTGTGGTGGCGCTCCCGCCGAGGGTTCGGATCCCACATACAGACCGGTTCCCGCTCACTGGCTGAGCGAGGTGCGGATGCGACACGGAGGTTTGTGATTCCGTTGCCGGTCCTGGTCCGGTACGGGCGCAACACTGAGGGTTGCAATCCGTTGCCGGACACGAAAAAAGACAAAAAAAAAAAAAAAAGAAATCAGTCCAAATGAACATCTCAAGAATGGGAAAGATGTGATATGAAAAAAATGGTGCTGAGCAGTGAACCCATAAGGCTCAAGATGAATGTCAAAATAATTGTAATTAATATGGTTCTGAAGGCCGACCCCGTGGCTCACTCAGGAGAGTGCGGCGCTGGGAGCACTGTGGCGCTCCCAAAAATAAATAAATAAATAAATAAATAAATAAATAAATAAAAATATGGTTCTGAAACAACTCAAAGTATTAATTATTAAAAGAGATTATAAGAAAATAAATGTTCTGGAATTAAAAGTCCAGGTGGTTAAAACAGACTAGAAAGTAAATATGTAAACTCTATTAAGAAAAAAAAAAAGAATATATTTTGCCTGAAAAAAATCTGTGGAGATATATATGCTAAAATGTCAGTTGTTTTGGAGGGGCAAGGCTATAGTTATTTTTTATGTTTAGTTTTCACTTTTTGCCTACCTGTATTTATACATTTTTCTTCCTGCTATGAGTATGTACTGGCCTTGGAATAAGAAGCCTAAAGTACTTTCCAGATTACTGGTTCCTTTATTAGTGACTTAAGGTAATAAGTGGGGAGGTGCTAGGATATTGGTGGTGGCTGGCCTTGTGATTAGATGATGGCTGGAGTACACAAGAAGAGTAAGTGGGTGCTGACAGAGCTGATGACCATAAAAGGAGAGTTCTGGGAGAAGACTGACCGATCCATTTGTTCTGAGTTAGAGCCCTGTGAGCTTCTGTGTGAGGCTCTTTGAATAAGTAGTGGCAATGGCCAACTGCAGGAATTGTGGAAGACTAGGATAATGTGGGTGTCACCTACAGTGTTTGTTGTTTATTTCACTTGAGGCCCTTTTTCAGTAAAGCCATCACCTGGCCTTGGTCCCGTTGAACTGGCAGCTGTCATTGCTGGACCAGTCTGCTTCGTCTGCATCTCACTCATGCTGATGGTCTATATCTGCCATAATCGCACTGTCATTCACCATCGAGTGCCAAATGAAGAGGATCCTTCGTTAGATCGCCCTTTTATTTCAGAGGGTACTACATTAAAAGATTTAATTTATGATATGACAACATCGGGTTCTGGATCAGGTAATGTAATTGTTTCTCCTTTTTCCTAAGAAGTCTTTTAAAAATTAACTTTGGTGTTTATTTTATTAGTTGGCTTAGTTTGTTAAAACTTGTGATAGTATGAACAGTATTCCAGGTCTGAACCTAATAAAGGTCTTTAAGCTTGGTCTATATCTGACTGTTGTTAGTTTAGTACAGACAGATTGGAACTTACTGTTGCAATAAGTCAGCAGGGTAGCTCCACAGTTTATAAATTTCAACGCATTCTCACCTATGTGATCTCATTTGCTTCTCCTGACTGAGGTAGAAAGGTTAAGGACAATTCTCATATAGATGAGGCTGAAGTTCAAAGATGTACAGATGAACTGCAGGTGCCCATTCTATTCAGAATTGTTTAGCAGCTTTATTTTTATATTTTAAAGCAGGCATGTCAGAAATGTATTTGGACTTGTGAAGGTTATTTGCTTTCTTAACATTATATGAAATTGCTGTCTTTAGCTCAGACCTGGTTTGTTATTAAACTAATAAATTCTTATTTTCTCACTTCAGAAAAAAATTCTAACCAACTTGTTGTTTAATACATCTGTGTGGAATTATGGCCCCTTTTCTCAATTCTGCTTGTTGATTTCTGTGGGACAGAAATAGACTGGCTAATTGTCAGAATCATCCCAAGCTGGATTTTGGCATAGCAATGCTTCATGTTTATACTGAAGGGGAATTATGTTTTACTTTTTCTTGCAGGTGGTTTGAAAGGATACTGAGAGAGGAACACCCCTATCCCTTACAATTTTGGAATTTGATACTTGGCTAGTAATCAATAGATCTAGATTCCAGTGTAAGCTTTGTCATTGATTAGCTCTGTGACCTTGGTTAAAAACCATTTTACCTCTTTATGCTTTTGTTTCCTTATCAGAAATATGGGACAGATATTATTGAAAATACTTAATGTGGTTTGTTAGGACTTTTAAATGAGATAATGCTGTTCTTTGAAAAATATAAGTCAGCTTTAAGGGGAAAATTCCTGGATAAAGTGAAGATTTGAAAACATATATAATGATAATTTTACTAATTTTATAATCAAGTGATATTAAAGGAACATTAAAGCAGAAGTAGTAAAATCACATCTAATGATACAGAAAGTTCATGTAATGACAAATGTCTCTTTATTTTAAGGAAATGAATATATACTGGTATGTATGAATATTTGTTCATTCATTTAAGTATGAGGAAACTGATTTCATGAACAGAAGTCTTTTTCTATAGAATTTGGCCATATATATTCAATAAGTGAGCTCTGTCCATGGCTACTGGGACACATAAGGCTTGCCCCAGAGCCCAGGTCTCTTAAGGCAACCTTAGGGACTCCTGAGACTGTGGTGGGAGGGAAGCAATGAGAGGTTTGACTGAGGAGCACCCTGAGTACTGAAGATGTGACAGTCTTTGGGCAGGAGTGGTGGAAGAGGTTATTTTAGGGTTTTCCTGGGGTTTTGCGTTGATTTTGAGTTAGTTCAAATGGTTTCCAAAGAAGATTTTACTCATTCTAGAAATTATCCTGGTACAAAACAGTGATAAGCAAGGACCAAAGTCACAGAAAAACAAGGTGGCAACAGATCATTTGGAATTAATCCCTTGGACTATTCTCTTCTTGCCACGTTTATACCTGGGGAAATAAAAGCAGCTCGTGCTGCTTGGCACAGTGGCATGTATTAGACCTCAAGAGGAACAAGCCCACCTAAAAGATTAAAAGGAATTGCTGTGTGGATGGCAGTTGATTTCTGAATAAGAATATATTTGTTTACCTTTTAAGATGTAGACATGAAATAAGGAATGGAATTATTCTTTTTCCATTTTATATATATTTCTAGATCCATCAGGGACCATAGCTCTCTGTTTTCTGAAAGTTTCTCTTCATCCTTTTAATGCCTTACCATGCAAAAATTTGTCTACATTGTTTGTTTGCTACCTCTGCGGCAGTTAGCTATATCTCATGCTTGAGTTATTTCATTTTAAAATGAAAGTGGTGAACCCTGCTGTGTGCATGTCGCTGGATTGTTGTGAAGTTCAAAAGAGACAAGGTGTTTGTATGAAAGCACTTGGTAAGTTGTAAAGTTATGTCCAAATGACAGGGGTTACTCTTATAGAGAAAACATTTGGAAGAAAAGTCTGACAAACAGTATTAATTTGCTGCATTATACAATAAAGCTTAATTTAAGGCTTCTTTTCCCTGTCATAGTTCATTGTGTGCTGAATTCCTTCTGAACTTATCCAGGCATCTTCTGTTGAATGATAGCAGAAAATGCCATCTGTTTCCCTTCTATTAATTATAAAGCCTTAATGCCACCTTATGCAATGGGCTCAGGCCTGTGAATAAGTTAAATGTCTATCCATAATACCCTTTTTATTGCTTTCACTCATTGGGGAAAAGTTAAAACTGAGCATTTTATGTTTTAAATTCCCATGTTTATTATTCAGTTCCATGACCGTAATTGAGGAAAGGCCCTATCTCTACCTCTCAAAGACTGTACTTTTAACTTGGAAACTTCAGGGAAGACAAAGAAGAGCTGGGTTCTGGAAGCTCTAACCTTGAAGATAATCTGATTTTTGTTGTATTAATTTGAATCACAGGTTGTACATGTGTTCATATTTAAGCCACATGGTAATTAGATTGTAAAGTGTGTGTGAGTGTACGCATGTGCATATGTGCCAGTTTTTGGAAGGGTGAGTCTCTTAGGCCATTGTTCATGTCTTTTACATGCTTATGATCTCTTGTAATATGCATGTTGTTCAAGTCAGATATTCATTGTTCACTGCATGTGAAGCTGCTGGGATCCTATTTCCCTATTGAAGTTTTTTCTCATGTAATAAAAAAGTAAAGCTTTAAGAAAGCAGTTTTTTCTCTCCTTTCTTAAAGCAGTAAATATAGAGATCTGAATTAGGCCTGTTTATTTTTGTCTTTAGAAGAAAATTGTTACTTTTCAAAACTACCCAAGTATTCATGTGGGTTATGGTAACCTCATTATAGATGATATGATGAATTTAGATTTGGTTTTTAATGTTAGTTCTGCATCTAAAATTCAGTGGTGAAGAAGAAGACAAAAACTTCCTTTGTCCTGTTAGCCTTTCTTGACCATCCCTTTTACGTGAGTCCTGAACCTGTCAGTCATTTTCAGACTTCCTATTTGTGATTCCTTTTTCTTCTTTCTTGCTTGCCTTCCAGATTAATCTCTAGAAATTAACTCTAAAGTATACTTTATGTACATGGTGTGGCACTATATAAGGCTTTAAGAAAATTTAATAACTTAGTATCTATACTAAACAACATAGTTAGGAATTGATTATTCTTAGTACAAAAGAGCTCCTTGATTTAAACAAGGGTTTTTCACAGACCTATTTTTATCTAGTAGTCTCCTTATAAACATAAAAACAATAGTTTATAATTAGACTGCTAACTATTTGCAGGAGGTAGGGAGGGTAGAGCAAGGGTAAGAAAGGACCCATTTGAGAAACTTAAAGATGAGAAGAGCTTCCAGTTGTTTTAAAGACTTAACATTTGGATTTATAAGCATTTTACATTAGGGAACCAAAGAGAGCAGATAATTTCTTTACCATCATTGGGTTAATTAGATCTAGCAAGCAGCTTTGAATATAGATGATAAATAACACATTTATGTGTACATAAATTGTGTAAATAAAATACTAATGTAGAATATGATATACACTGGTATTTTATAAAATTTAAAATAATTCCTTAGTGGATGGGGGATATAATAAGTGATTATTCCAAATATAGTGTGACTTAAATGTAGGTAGTTAGTACATCCTTTTAAATGAAATAAGACAATATTTAAAAATATTTATTTTAGAGTAAGATGAGTTCAATTAGTGAAAAACATAAATGCCCCATTATTAAGGTAAATTCCTTGGCATTGTTCTTTAAGATAATAGTGTTGCTTAGATAGCCAGTTGCCAGCAAGTAAGTTGCATGCCTTGAAATGGTTTCTGTGATAATTACTGATTTATTAAAAATTATGCCAGAATTTACTTCTGTGTTTCTTGTGTTATCTTTTTCTCCTCCTGTTAGTAAGACTCTTACCAGATTCTAGTATTTTAAAATTACCCTCCCCTGCCACCATTCATGGCTTTTTCTCCCCCCACCCCACCCCAGTAGTGGTTCCTCTTTTACCTATAGCTCTCATTGATCATCTTCATCTTGAGCCTGGCAAGCCTGGCATTCAGTACTGTTCATTTTCTGGTGACAGCTTACCTTCTATTTCACTGCCTTGCCACATACAAGGGTACTTCAAAAAGTTGGTGGAAACTAACAGAATTAAAAGATGACACAAATATTTCCAAGAACTTTCTGAAGTGCTCTTGTATATCCTCTCTGATTATCCAAGCTGGTTCCCTAAAAATGTATCATGCATTTCCTCCTTCTGCCTTTGCTTTGCATGTTCTTTCTACCTAACCATCTTATTTCCTTTTCTCTTAGCCTTTTGTCCTATCCCTTCTATAAAGCACAGTCAAAATTCAACTTAATGTACAAAGCCTACCTTGACCCTCTAGGCAGGAGTTTCTTAATTCTTTTATTGTATTTATTGTCTTATTTTTATTTATTCATTAATTATTATTATTATTTTTTGCGAATGTAGTCTGTATCTCCCCAGTGAGATTGTAAATTCCTTAAAGGTAGAGCTTACAGAGTAATACTTTTCTGGGTTACTCTTTAGTGCCTGTCATGGTATTTGAAACACATAATGTTGAGTGTGTTGAATACTATTTATTTTTATCTTTAGGTTTACCGTTGCTTGTTCAAAGAACAATTGCAAGAACTATTGTGTTACAAGAAAGCATTGGCAAAGGTCGGTTTGGAGAAGTTTGGCGAGGAAAGTGGAGGGGAGAAGAAGTTGCTGTTAAGATATTCTCCTCTAGAGAAGAACGTTCATGGTTCCGTGAGGCAGAAATTTATCAAACCGTAATGTTACGACATGAAAACATCTTGGGATTTATAGCAGCAGACAATAAAGGTCAGTAACATTTGCTTTTCCTTACGTTGAGTATCACAAAATACATTTAAGCTTTTTTACAGATAATGGCTACTATAAACATTGTCAAATTTGATGAGAAATAGAGGTTTTTTGTTTTCATATAGATTAGATCCACTACACTGTCAAATACAATATTAGAAACTTTTAGAAACAGGGACTTCTTAAAGATTTTCTTGACTCTTGACAACAGGTTTCTAAATATCTGATTGTTTTATAAAATGTAATAGAGTTATTAAAAAAAAGCCATGTACATTTGTTATTTTAGTACTTGGGCCGTTAATTATTGAGTATAGTTATAATAAAGGAAAAAATTTATAAACTCTGGTTGCTCAAAATTTTGAGGTTACCACTTAGTTATCTGTTTCCTTTAATCTTTTCCTGACCAGTAGGGCATTTCAATATA